TAAAATGGCAAAAACCCTTTATTTATTCTTGTGGACACTTTTAGAAATAAATAATTTTTTTACAAAAACATTTCTCACTCATTGTCTCACTGAGGTAAAGATGCATTTCTCTCAAGCTGCTGCTGCCTCCTCTCTCTCCTCCCTTTGGTCAGGTTTGTTTGTGTGTGATCTTCTCTTCTTCTGTTCTGTGTGCCGGACGTAGTTGAGGAGATTCACGATTGTAGCTGGAGTTATACCTTGCAAACGAGTCGCAGCACCCAGCTGCAAGATAAAGCAGTCACGTTAATGATTAATGTAATTTTTTTTCGTTTTTTATTTTCTCGTCTTCAAAAATATAAAAGCAGAGCAAAAAAAAAAAAAGATGTTCTTGCAAACTCACAGTGCTAGGCCGAACTCTGTGTAAAATCTCACGAGCTTCTTGAGAGAGTGAAACTGGCAGAGTGAAATAGTCCAAGTCCTGAGGGAGGGCCATGTTCTCCTCCTTCTGAATTCTCTTAATCTCTTTCTTCTGGAGGTCACAGTAAGGTCGGTATACAGCTAAAATACAGAAGGGGAAAAAAATCCATCCCTTCAGTACATTTTTGTAGAGAAATAAGTACAGGTGTTCATTGCTAGCTCCTGAAAAACAAAATCACTTCTCACCCTCTATTTTGAGTCTTTGTGAGAACTCCATGTAAGGTGAAAGGCACTCTGGGGCGGCCGATGCCAACATTTCAAAGGTAATGTCCTTGTACTGCAGCAGTTCTAGACCACTGAAAGGAAAAGCCACGCAATAACTGTCAGGACCAACAAATCCACCACAGATGTACCGCTCGCTCGCTCTCAATGGAACACTCACCTCAGCGTGGTGCTTTTGCTCTCGCTGATACAGATCTGGGGGAACATTTTTTTCCACTTGTGAGATGACATAGCGAGAGCCTGCAGGGCTGACAGAGCATCCTGCAGAGTGTTTCTCACTCTCACAGCCTCTTTGTAGCGCAAAGAGGACACACATCCCGCCTCCTCAAACCCTGGCAAGACGAAGAAACACAACTTGTACGTTCCATTCACAAAACCTGAGGTAGTCTTACGCCCTGACAATTATCTGGAAATCAAAGAAATAAATGGCTTCATGGTATACTGTGTGGGATGTTAGGATGCAAGTGATGTCGCTTTATAGTTCATATTAATCAAGGAGATTTAGCATAAAGGGAAAACATAATGCACATTATAATAAGAACACATTTTGATATTTTAAGGAAAACATTGTTTTTAAAAACGTACACGTTCAGATGAATTTACTTCCAGACATGGCAGCTACCTTTCAGAGTGAGGCGGAGGTCGGCGTTGTCCGGCCTCAGAGAAGTTCGAAACTCCGCCCGGCTGGTGAACATGCGGTACGGCTCAGTGACTCCCTGACTCAGCAGATCATCAATGAGGACTCCAATATAACTCTCTGTCCGGGACAACGACAGCGTAGGCATGGAGAGAGCCTGACGAGCGGCGTTCACCCCCGCCCACACACCCTGCGAGGTCACAAGTTTTCCCCAGGTTTCATTGATTTTGTTTGTCTTCACCGACAATGACTTTTTTTTTTTTTTTTTTTTTACAGTGAAGAAGCAGTTACCTGTGCAGCCGCCTCCTCGTATCCTGTCGTTCCATTGATCTGACCGGCCAGAAAAAGACCTTGGGTGCTTTTCACCTGCAGGGCCGGGTTCAGCTGGGTAGGGCACACAAAGTCGTACTGCACGCCATACCCTGGGTAAAATAAAGATTCACGCACAAATTCACCATCATACCCACTTTACTTTGACGTCAACAAGAGTCGTTTCGATGTAACTGAGTATCAAACAGGGTTCAGGCAGCATACCCGGTGTGTGGATCTCAGCTCTGTGCAAGGGGGGGATCTCTCTGATGAGGCGGAGCTGTATATCAGGGGGCATCGTCATGGAGAGACCCTGAGGGTATAAAAGATCTGAGGTCAAGCCCTCAGGCTCCAACCACACCTGGTGCGCTCGGCCCGGGAAGCGAATCACTCGGGACTCGATGGAGGGGCAGTATCTGTGAGAGACGAAGGGGAATATAATTTGAGTTTCAGAGCAGACTGAGAACAATTTCAGTTGCGTGCGTGTGTGTGTGTGTGTGTGTGTGTGTGTGTGTGTGTGTGTGTGTGTGTGTGTGTGTGTACCTGGGGCCCTTGGTGTCTTGCTGTATGTGACAGTTGAGATGAAAACTCTCCCTCACCACTCTCTCTACACCAGGTGTTGTATAGGTCAGGTAACAAGGCAGCTGCTCCTCAGGCTTACGAAGGTTTTAGATTGAAATAAAAAAAGACTTTCATTTATTTAAAAAAAGAATGGATTCAAAGGAAAAAATATATTTTTTTTATTTTATCTAATGAAACTCTTAAGCTCTTTTGCTCAATCGTGACTATCTTTAGACTTGATATGTTTTTTTACATTACTTAAGCAAAAAAAAAAGATCACATGCAAGAAATAACATTTATATATTTTCATCAAAAACCATGACATCACACGTACAAGTAGATGAAGTATGTGAAAAAGTTCGACGCATGACCTTCACCTTGCAGTGTGTGTGTGCGTTAAGGAAGCTGAATGGAACGGGCTGAGAGTCAGGTGGGTGAATGTTAGCCAAAGAAAGATCCACTGAATCCTTCACAATCCTGGGAGGGGTCCCAGTCCTCAGCCGGCCAACCCTCAGCCCGAGTGTCTCCTTTAGTGTGTGTGACAGCCCTGAAGGAGCGTCTCCGATCCGCCCCCCCGGGGATTTGGTTTGGCCCATGAAGAGGGAGCCCGACAAGAAAGTTCCGGTTGTAAGAATCACAGAGGTGGCTGAAATTGGGTGGCTGCCATTTGCTGAAAAGACGTAGAAAAAAAAAAGAAAAAAAAAGGTGTTAGAAACTGCATTTGTAAAAACTGATTTGCTTTTCAACACATTTAGAGATGGATTTTAAACGTATAAATAACTACACATGCTCTACACCAAACTGTCAGATATTTAGAATTAAGTTAGGACATGTAAAATTAATGAATCATGACAACAACCGCACAGCTGTGTGGAGGTTCTCCCTACACAAACGTATCCCGGTGACTCTGTGCTGTCCCGGCTCCTCTGGGTCTGGTTCTGATACCAGCAGCTCCTCCACTGAGCCCTCCACCACCATCAGTCTTGGAGTAGACAGCAGCTCTGCCTGAATAAGAGATAGCAGGGACACTCATAGTTAATGATAATAGTTCCCCTTCAGTAGTTTGATTTCAATAGCAAACACAGAGATTTTAAACGAGTACGAGTTACCTGAATAAATTCTCTGTAAAGCTGGCGGTCCAGCTGAGCCCTCGGGCCCCATACAGCAGGGCCTTTACTACGATTAAGGATGGAGAAATGGATGCCAGCCCAGTCCCCTGCCCGTCCACACAAACCATCCAGTGCATCTACCTCTTTCACCAGCTGACCCTTCCCAACTCCCCCAAGAGACGGATTACAGGACAGGGCACCTGGAGGGGGGGATGTGAAGGGAAAAGCTAAGGAAATTGGACTTAAGAGTAAAATATGTATTTTAATAAACAGTAAAAGGACCCCGTCCTCTCACCGATGGTGTGTATTTTCTGTGTGACCAGAAGTGTCTCAGCTCCGGTTCTGGCGGCTGCTGCCGCTGCTTCCGTCCCTGCATGTCCCCCACCCACAACAATGACATCATACTGCTGTCTTGCAAGGTGACTGGCATGTCTGGAAACCAGAACCAGGACTCTTTTGAGTGGGGAGATCTTCTTTGTTAACATGTGGGATGCACACCTGTGGAATGTATGATGTATGGTTAGACATTAGACAGACGTTTTCATTGGATCAGAACAGAAACTGGATCCATGAGAGACACCAAGTCAGATTAGAAACTTTAGTCTGTGACTCTTCTGTTTTGACTGTTTCTTTTTTTTTTTACTTCGTCACTTGTGACTCTTACACTTAACAATAATAAACATGCATTTAGGTAATATCTATGTTTCTGATTGTCTTTATAGCCTATTTAAAGGTTATCTGATTGATTCATATTATATGAAAGAATGCGTTTAGGGGATTAAATGTTAGAATGTTAAAATCCACTGAAGTTGCATGTTGATTACAAAAACCAGCTGATAAGCGACATTAGTTAATTTGATGTGTTTCTTTGTTTTTGTTTTTTTTAATAGAGCAGCTCTTCTGAAACAGCAAACTGCTCATTGCTGTGTTTACCAATTCTATTACAGGTTGGCTGAACAAAGTCCGCCATATCTAAAGACCACGGGATCCTTTAGAAGTCACAACATTAGTGAAGCTATGTCTCCTCTTAACTTTGAAGAGAATAAGATCAAGAACACAATTCACTGGAACATTTATCTTTGTACATAATGTGGACGTCTATTACAGCAATCACATCACATCAACTGTTACATGTACTTACAATTTCGACAAAGGAGGTCTTGATTTCAATGTTGCCAAAGGAGGAGAGGGGGACTCAATGAAAGATTTATCAACACCCCTGGTAACATTACAAAACTCATGCTATGTCGCACAGACGCTCTTTAAGGAGGCTGCCATGTTGGCTGCAGCTCTTGGCCGTAATAACTGTTGTATAGGCGCATTGAGGAGGTCGTTACTGTAGGTTCTAATAAATTAACGAATGAAATGGAGGGGAAAAAAATAAATAAAGTAAGAGACAGTAATAAATGTGTCAAAAGATGAAAGGTGTAGGCAAAATAAATAATCACAAAGTTTGTCAACACAGCAATGTTTTTTTTTTTTTTTTTTAAAGTTTACTGCCACGTGTACAGTTCAGACATCCCATTCTTCTTATATCAGATATAAGTCTGAATCAATCACATGTTGGGCTCAATGTGTGTATATTATCGATCCACGTACGCGGGCTCACTAGTAGGTCAGAAGCGCACGCGCACGCGCACGTCCACGCCCCCCTCCCCCTTTCCAGCCCCGGTTTCAGCCGCGCGCGGATTGAGTCAAGTGAACCTACCGAGAGGTGGTGTTGACCGACCGCAGCAGGTTTTCACTGAGAAACCTGAAGAATCTGAACTTCCCGAGGCGACTGACAGCAACGCCACGACCTTATATATATTTTTACCGGAAAGGGTCAGCGGCGCCGGAGTTGAGGCGAGAACGACCGACCGAGAGGAAAGTAAAAAAAAAAAAAAAAAAAATCCCGGAGAGAAAAGCGCCAGAAGTGAGCTGGAGGATCAGAGCTAATGCTAACCCTGCGAGCTATTGCTTAATAATTATACGGAAACTCGAGTCGTTTAATTAATAATTTGCTTTGATGTTAACATTGTGGTCACGCAGTAGATAGTTGGGGGACCTTTTTTTAATTTATATCACACATTGCTTCATGTTTAAGTAGGTGTTCTGCCACCACATTTTAGGCCACAAGCGACCGGTGTCCCATTAGCAAGATTAGCTACAGTAGCCGGTTTTTTTTTTTACTGAGGTTACACCGGCTCTGTTCGGGACAGGTGATTCTGCAAAACAATAGTTCGCTTTCAAAAATCAGCGTTTATAAGTGAAGCGCACGCTTGGTGCTGTCTAAGCCTTGTGCTTTCACAATGCTGAAACAACAGCAGCAACCCGGCTCAGGCGGGAGAAAAGCGTCAAACGGAACCTCGGGCCCCGGTGGTGTGTCTTCCCCGGTCAGCGGCATCAACAGCGGCAGCAGGACACCGGCTGGGAGGTGAGTTGGTGCCGGATGTTGTGTCAGGACAGTCTGGGGATTTGTCCTGTGGCTCAGAGGCCTACCGGTTAAAGCGCTTTTGGGTGGGTGTGTCTCTGTAATAGGAGCTTGAGTTCCGGGGTCCAATGAGAGCGGCGCATCTCTGATTGACAGTTATTACAGGCCAATCACAATCCTCGAATTTAGACGAAGACCAATACGTGAGGTGAGCTCATGGTTCGTTTTCCAGCGAGGGGTAGCACATTAGCACACAAGAGAAACCAAAGTTTTTCTGGCCTGTAAGTGAAAGAAAAAGGACGATGATGTCTGACAACACGACACATTAGCATCAAGCCGTCTTTAAGATTCAAGGTGCCGAATACAGAAACGTCATAATTCACGTTGAAATGTTGTGGCACAAAGTGAAACTGAATCTACATGTTAGAGACGAGCGTCTGTTTACAGAACTACTGTCCACAGCTTCCCACCAGTCTTTGTTTTATTATTTTGTTCAATTATTGCTCCAAACCACTCTCCCGTTTTTCTTTAAAAATGTCGGCGTGACTTTAATGCGTTTCATTTGTTTTGGAAGATATGGATACAACATCTGTGATATTATATGGGTTAGTAAAACAGGAAAAAAACTGAACAGCTCATCGGCCTTCATTGACATTGTAGATAACAACACTACAAATTACTTTTAATGCTTGGATTTTTAGCTGCAAGGGTGCAGGTGGATGCCTGGCATTGTCAAATGTGAAAATACACATCAGTGTATTGAATTGGTGATTTAAAGACCAAGTATACTTTATTCAAGCTTCTCTTAAAGTGCTCCATATTAGTAATGCTGAATGTAACCCAGCAAGTCCTTGAACAGGTTTTGAAAACAAGTTAGGCTCCTTTTTGTTTTTTTACATTTAACATGTTTTAACTGTGCTGTTTTTTTGTTTTTTTTTAGGAACCGACCCTCTGCAAAGCCATCTTTCCAGTCGACTTCTGTAAGTATCCCGTTCTGGCAAAGTCAGGCAGCAAACAAAAATGTAACATGGTTAATATCTAATGGGAAACACTCAAGTCAAACTCCATCACTTTGTGACTACAATTTAAGATTTGAAAACAACAAGGGGAAATCAGCATTTTGTATTTCTCAAGTGATCATCATTTTAAGTCATGTATTTTTCTCAGCTGGTTCACATTTTTGGCAAAGGTCAGCCTTCAGCTGCAATTGCATTTGACCTAATGACCCTAAAGAAAAATTTAAATACAACCTCAAATGAGGGTCTAATATGTTTTTTTCAGGAGAGGGCATCATTGACTTTTCTTAAAATGATGCCCACTTTTATGTGGTGATTAATAATGATTACAATAGCCTTTGGTAGATTTAATATCGAATGCCAACCCATGTTAGATACACCTATATGATGCTTATTATGTCATGTTTGAGTGATACTTAAAATAAAACCTACTCCATTCTGCAGGGATTTGATGGTGTGTACAATAATGCCAGAATGCTACATTTCCTCACAGCAGTCGTGGTGAGTCCTTTGACTATTCTCAAAAGAAAATACTCAATGTGCCCGTTTTTACATTTATGATAATAGTTTGAGGTAAAATGTAATCTGCCTACTGTGGATTTACCCTAACTCATTTTCAAATAGATTTTGTTTGACAAGTTTTTTTATTTTTTTTTATCTTGTTCAGGGTTCCACCTGTGACATAAGAGTGAAGAACGGCAGTGTATTTGAAGGCATATTCAAGACTCTCAGTTCCCGGGTAAGAAGCTCGTGTTGAGCACACAGGCACGCAGTTCCCCCTGCCAAATTAATGAAACACTTCAAGTAATCCATTGGTAATCTGTCTATACTAGACTTGTATTGTGGAAAAAATATCCATTTTCTTCTGTTGTTTAATTTAGTGCGAGTTGGCTGTAGACGCTGTACATAAACGCAGCGACGAGGAGGTCTCATCATCAGCTCCACCACGAAGGGAGGACATCACAGACACAATGATCTTCAGCCCTTCAGACCTGGTGACTATGATCTGCAAAGACGTTGACCTGAACTTCGCCACCAGAGGTACAAACAACACAAAAGGCAAGCAATTCCCAGATCTGCTATCTTTGGTTGCTGAGAGGTATAGTTCAACCCAGAAAATACTTGTTTAGAAGATATCATTGGACTGTGGTCATGCTAAGGGCATCATTGATTTATAATAAATAATGGCAAAGTTTCTTGTGCAAGCATTGAAATATCTGTGTATAAAGCTTGAATGGTTTGAACTGTTTCTGTAGCTTGTGGGGAAAGAAGAGAAAATACTTTTTGAATTCTTAGAGCTTAATTTTTGTAATATTGTTGAAAGAAAGCAAATGATAACAGTGCTCTGTCATTTTGGAGTTTGTACTCAAACCAAATGCAATCTTGCTAAAGGGAACAAGAATTGTTTCATTGTTTTGTTGCCTTTGATTTTAGACACCTTCACAGACACGGCCATCAGCTCCACCCGCGTCAATGGAGAACACAAGGAGAAAGTCCTGCAGAGATGGGAGGGAGGAGACAGCAATGGGGAGAGCTACGATCTAGAAAATGATGCAGTGAGTTGCTCTGTGCCTTTAATGCAAAGAGAACACAAGCCATGTTAGGATATCAAAGTGTTTGACCCCAAAGGCTTAGATATGCAACATTTATAATACAAACTCTGTACACACAGCCTCTTAGTGGGTTGATTTTTCTTTCCTCAATCTTATGAAATAAGTTGACCAATAATCTGATTTACTATGCAATCTGACAAATGAAAAGTAATCCGTTTTTTCTAGCATGTGGCAATAATTAAGCATTACTCTACATTTTTGATTATTTTCCCCACAATGAATCTCTTTTCTTTGTTTTGTCTTCAGTCCAATGGCTGGGACGCCAATGAGATGTTCCGTTACAACGAAGTGAAATACGGAGTCACATCAACATATGATTCCAGCCTCTCCATGTATACGTAAGTTTCCAAATGGAATCATTCGCTCCATGAATTGCTAATAGATAATATCTCCAGTGAGATCTTTAAAAAAAAAGAAAAACAGGGTTCGTATTTTTGCTCACTTCCAAAAACAATTCCCAGTTCTGTTTTTAGATTTTTGGTAAGAAACCAGGAAAAAGTGGTGGATGTCTCTTAAATTTTATTACACCACTGACTGTGTGAATTCTGAATTCTGGTCAGTGTGACTTTCCACAGTTTCTTAAAAACAGGCTGCTGTTGTGAATTACAGACTGTTGCTGTGGGCGTAATAGTATAGGAGATATTCAACTATTTCAAATGAATAAAACCACAATTAAATTAGTATTTTCTCCTGCACCATGCCAGGCTTTACTTCTGCAACATTACTCACTTGCTGCACATTATCCCTTAAAGAATGGTGTCAAACAAGCAACCGACAGAGACGGAGTGTAACTTGTGCAGCAGCAGCGAGACTTGAGCCTTTGTTTGGAGATTCCTTCTCATGACATCTTTAGTGTAATTAGAGTGAGAATTTGTTTACATTGTCATGGTTTGTAAAATTACAGACTTGTCTAATATGTTACTATGTTGTCAGACGATCTTGCCATTTATAACAATCCAAACGTAAGAAGAGAAGGGCATACATTCAATTAAATAACTCTTCATGTGCAACTGGAGGGAGTTGAAACCTTCAAATCTGCCATTATTCCATTTAAAGTAGAGTTTTTTTTTTATTGTTCGTACCACCTTTAACCTGTATCCAGCGGGTTTCAAGGATTTTAACCTTTTTTTTTTTTTAATCGTTATTTTTCCTCCTTTTGTCTAGTGTTCCGCTGGAGAGGGGTAACTCTGACAACTATCGGCAGAGGGAGGCCCGTGCCGCTCGCCTGGCCAGTGAAATTGAGTCCAGCCCCCAGTATCGCCACCGCGTCGGTCTGGAAAACGATGACTGCAAAACGGAGGAGGACAAGTACAGTGCTGTGGTGAGGGACGGTGGTGATCGTGAGAGGGGACGGGAGAGCCCACGTGACCGAGAGCGAGAACGGGGCCGAGACAGTCCCGGAGCCAGCACCAGGTGTGTGGGGGAGGAGGGTTCTCTTTTTGTCTGTTATTGATGAGAGTGTTGATGAAAAAAATCACAGCTGTTAAATAAATATCATTACCGCTATGTTTAGTTATATCATAGTGTCTCTGTTAGCCATGATGGTAAAAAATCAAGGATTAGAATTGGAGACTAAAAACTCTTTGACAACTGAGTAAAACTCTTTAATTTTTCTGAAGACTTCTTGACATTTTTGTTATTTGGATGTGAAGGTCAACGTGTATTCATGACTTCAGAGTCAGAAGTTAACAGATGTGTCACATTTTTAGTGGCTGCCATGAAACTTTCAATCATATCACACAATTAGTTCAAGTAGTCAAGCTCCATCTGCTGAGGAAGATTATATGATATGATAAAATGCCCCCCTAAATCACTTCATGAGCTTTGTGTTCCCCCTGTGTAAGATGTACTATTCGTCCTCTTTCAGGGAGGGGAAGTACATTCCATTACCTCAACGCCAGAGAGAGATGAACCGCGAGCGAGCTGAGAGAGGTCCTGGTGGGCCTCCACCACACAACCGCCTGAGCGGAGGTTATCGCTCCAACCCTCCATCCTCCTCTTCCCCCAGACCCCCTCTACCCTCTGCCACTGGGCCCCAGCCTGGTGCCTCCTCCTCCTCAGAGAGAAGCAGCCCTCTGTCTGGCCGCGGAGGGCCCTTCCCTCCACACCACCCCCAGGGGAGCCCCAGCCCAGGTCCAGGCTCTGGCCCCTCGAGCCAAGCCGCGCCTGCTTCTGCTGCCCCATCCTCAACTAGCCCCCCTGCCTCCCACGGACACACGGTCCCTCATTCCCAGTCACTCCCACACTCGCTGACGGATGCAGGCAGGCCTGTAAATGGAGGTAAATGTGTGAACATTAGTCAGAAATGTTTTAACAGCATCTGTGCATGTTTCACATTAAAATGTCCTTTTTCTGTTGCTTTCAGTCTCTACCAGAACATCTCCTAAAGCCCAAAGACCTCCACAGTCTAGCCGAACAGTTCGCACTTCCAACTCACATTCTCAGTCAACATGTAAGTTCATTCACCTGTAGTGTCTTCTCTATCATCAATTGGTTTTGTCTGAAACTTCACCTTAATTATCCCATGTCCTGTCCTTTCAGCTACGCGCTCTCCTAAATCAGGTTCTCTCCAAGACACGCCTTATTTGGACACATCGTCCGTCTCCCTGCCTGCCCAGAAGACGTCTGGCCCCGCCCCTCTTTTCCCTGTAGATGGTACTGTCTCACATTTCACCTCCTCGTTTTGTTTTCATTGTTTAGAGTTTGAAATCAAAGTCAAAAGTATTACTTTCTGAAACGAAGTGAACTTATTCTTCACTTCAGAGCAATTAGCAACAAGTGCTGAAGGTGAAATGAAATGAAGCGTTTAAACTCATTTACTTTGTCTTGTCTTCACAGTGAATGAGATCCTCGGTGCAGCTGCAAAAGAACGCTCAGCCGAGAGCCCCAGCAGCACAGAGGAAGGAAAGGGTGGTAAAGGTGTGTACTTAAAATTAAATCCAAAAGTCTTAATTTGGAGACTTAAATCAGACCATATAGAACTAGAACTTGTGTCTAGTTTCACGCTCTGATGGTTTCGACAGCATGTTAAACCATGCACTAAATTTGCAGTTTTCACATTTTCATTAACCTTTGTTTCCTCTCTTCTCCGCCAGCTCCCTCAGTTCAGCAAAGGTCGCAGATTGAGGAGCTGCGGAAATTTGGCAAGGAATTCAGGGTAAGAGTTCAGTTTGCTTTCTGTGAGGCGTGAAATGAGAAAATCTGCTAACAATCAGGAGAGAGTGACCTGAGACATCACTGATGTTAGGTGACTTCTTTAGCCACTTGAAAACCTCCAACCCGGAGATTATTTTTTACATCATGCTGTTTAAATTGATCTGAAATGAAAGCGGAAACAGTCTTCACCTTTTTGGGTGCGGAAAGCGAAGACATTGATCTTTTTTTATGTCATCACTTTGGCTGTAACTTGATGACATCATTGTGTACAGTAACATTGTAAAAGAGACAAGTACAGCAAGTTATTTCAATAGTTTCATAATTATTGTGTATTGATTAACCTCATCCTTAATCTAAGATTGTACAGATACTAGGGATGTTGAGTATTTGGAGATAGCTTAAGAAATTACATCAAAATAAGAAAAATACCAGTTTGTAATCTAACATTAATCTTTTAAGTTATCAGAGTGTAAAGAGTCGATTTATTTTTCAGGACAGTTTGCTTCTAGGTGTGAAGGGAGTTCTAACGAAGTGATTTAAGTATCTATGATGCTGAATGCAGTGTGAGACTATTTACTCTCGGGCCATTTTCTGTCACACTAGTGGAACAGATTTCAGATATGTCTATTTTAACAAAAATACAAAGTTTACTTTTGCAGTAAAACCTGCAGATCAGAAGCTAAATAAAAAGGTTATAAGAACTTAAATTAGTTTTAAAATGATCCGTCTCTTTTTGTCATCACCTCCTCTCTCCCATCAATCATAATCTTTGATTTTGATGTTTTTCAGCTCCAAGCAAGCGGAGGCAGCTCCAGCTCTCCGAGCTCCCCGGCAGCAGCGACCCCTCCCGCCATCAGCGAGGTCGCTCAAACAGCTGCTGCCGAATCCTCGCCATCAGACACTCACCCTGCTTCAGAGCCCAAACCTCAGCCTTCGGCTCCCAGTCCTTCCCAGCTCCAACCGCAGCCCTCACCTGCCCCCACTGATGACTCCACCAAGGACACCACAGCTACACCCAACACCACAGCAGCTGTTTCAGACAGGCATTCACTAGCCACCCCGCAGCCTGCAAGGACCCCGGGAAGTGACGACGCCAGATCTGACACAACAGAGAGGACAGAGGGCATGCCAGAGTGAGTTTCAAAAAGGACTTAAGACTTTTCAAAGAGCAATGTGTCATTAAGCTTGTTTGTGTTACTACTTCAAACACTGTTTTTTACTCTCTTAGACAAGTGAAGAAATCCACATTAAACCCCAACGCAAAAGAGTTCAACCCCATCAAAGCTCCGATGCCGATGGTAAGCCGATTTATCTGTGCTAAAGATACTTCAGTCATTTTATATGTAGGTGAATTTAGATCTATTACTTCATATTGTTTCTAAGATTATTGTTCTATGGTGTAAAATGAGCAATATACACCTCTTGTTGCTCAGGCAAAGCCCAACACTGCACCCACCCCACCTCGACCCACTCCTCCAAGCCCGGTGGTCCTTCAGCACCCAGGCGGTCAGGGACCCCTCTACAACACCCCCTACCTCTCTTATGTATCACAGATCCACTCTGTGCAGGTAATTAAAACGTTGCCATGAATCATACTCCAATCTAGAAATGTTACGTTATTGAAGTTGTTGTATACTTTTAAAACATGAAAGTCGTCCAGAAACAAGTGGAGCAGCTGGAATTAGCAGAGTTTAACTCGGACTATTACAGAACAAATCACGTTTTTAATGTTTTTTTGTGACTAAAATTAACTTTCATTTTTGATCATTAGTAAAATAGTCAGGTTAATCTTTTTTCCACTAAAACCACATGAACCTGTTGATTGTAAGACAGTTTGAAAATGAAGGAGTCTCCTTTTAATATAAAAACCCAAAACTGTAAATATAGAAACTTGGGAAGCAAAGATATGTTTGTCATTTTGTTTATAGTATACAGTATTTGAAACTATAAAATGTTGATCAAAGTAAATGGAATTTTTTGTGAATGACACTTTGTTTAGTTCAGTTTTTCTTTGTGCTGACATCGATTCTTGGTCTTTTGTTTTTCAGCAACCACCAATGTACCAGTACACCATGTCTACTGTCAGCCAGGGGAAATACCCCCGGACCAAAGGTAAATCATTTTGTTTCTCTCTTATTGATGTATGTATGTGGTTCTCATAATTTTGTAACAAATAGCTTCTAAAATTAAAAATGCTTTCAACTCGTGTGAAGTATAAATAGAGCTCTCATTATAGTCTTTGTTTTATCAGTTTGCCTCTCATCCTATGTGTCACCAGATTGCTGAAACTTATGACATCACAGTGCACACACATGCTTAATAAGATAGAATTTAAAACGGTCTTGATCTGTAAGTGCTTCTGTATGTTCAAAATGTTTCCTGTTGTCTTCATGATTCTTCTCCATCACCAGGCCCAGTCGTGGGTCAGCGCTCTGACCACGGTTCGTCAGCGCCCCCAATGATGCAGGCGGCGGCATCAGCAGCCGGGGCCCCTTTGGTAGCGTCCCCCTACGCTCAGTCCTACCTCCAGTACAATCCACAGCAGTACGGCCAGCAGCAGGTCATCCAGGCAATGGCACCGTACCCTGGACAGGTAGGGCCCTCTTAGCTCTTCTATAAATCAGTTCAGAAAGCTTTTTATTCAACAGAGGATAAAAGAAACGAGCACAAAATAAGAAAGTTTTCATATCTCCCTCTCTAGCCGATGTACTCCATGCTGCAGGGTGGAGCTAGGATGATAGGTCAAGGCGGAGGTCCCCATCCACAAGCCATGGGACCCCCAGGAGGCCCTCAGTTCCCGTCACAGGGAGACGGACCTCAGGGACCACAGCAGGGCATCTATGGTGAGTTGAAACCCGCAGTAATGGATTTCAGACACAAAATGTATTTATGCAACTCTTAAATACATTGCAGATCATACGGGTACATGACATTATTTGTTGTTTGCTGCATGGTCTTCAGACGGCCGGATTAAGACTTTGAAATGTTGACTTTATATCAGTTGCTTGTTCCTTAAGAGTCTAACAATACACTGACATAAAGCATTATCTTGACACTAATTGTCTCTCTTTGTGAAGCTCCTCAGTCCTTCTCCCACCACTCGGGTGCAGTGCATCAGCCTCAGCCTTCCAGTACCCCCACAGGCAACCAGCCCCCTCCCCAGCACGCTGCACCTAGCCCTGGACAGGTGAGATACCAAGGCACTTTTTTATTCCCCTAGTCAGAGATGTGCATCTTTCAGCCTTTTGATGTTGTTGGTCTTCGCAAGGAAATTGTATCCATATATTGCTTAACATGTACTTCAGTGATGTCAATAGTCACCACTGGAGTTACCCTCTGCTTGGATTTGTAACTGGTATTGCACAGGGTTAACAGTTTTACAGAACCATTGTGGTGATAAACTTGGAAATGTGGCTTTTAGAAGTCCTGGAGGAGAGCAGAACACGTCACTACCTTTGGGAAAGCAGTGCTTGTTTATCTTATCATCTGAAGGATTCACTTGTGGGCAAGGATCAAGCCTCAATGACATATGTGCTGGATTAATTTATTATCTGATTTCTCTTTTCAGAATGCCCAGTCAGGCCCACAGCCCCAGTCCTTGTACCACTCAGGTCCCCTGTCAGCACCCACCCCATCTAACATGCCACCAGGCCACACGTCTCCACAGGGCTCCTACCCCATCCAGGGCTACAGCATCCACAGCCACCAGGGTATCCCACAATCATATCCCCTGGGACAGCTAGCACAGGTATGCATCCATGGCTTTATGATTACCGCACTCTTCGGTTTTTAGCTTAATTAAAAAATATATTGGCGTGAAAATGTTTAGCTACCCAGAAAAATCTAATCATCTGTTGGGATGACCAGCTGTCGGTTCTAGAATTGATTTGTTTTTGTTAGCTTTAGCATTTTACACAAACGATGCAGGAGTAACTGTTTGGCCTTGCACAGCGGGTAAAATGTGTTTGGAAGACTTCAACTCAATCCAAACTTGTTGTTTTAAACTCCAGGCCCATGTACAAGGAGCCATGTCGGGTCCCCACCACTCTGGCAGCCACGGTCAGCCCCAGTTAGTGATGTTGCAGCCGCCCCCTCAGCAGGGCCCTGGTTCAGTGCCCCAACACCCTCAGCACGGACCTCAGCAAGGAGCACACCAACACTTTTACATAGGACATCCACAAGGTAGGCAACGTGGTGCCAAATAAAACCCTGCCATTGTCCTGTCACATGAAAGTGGTTTCCATTCTCTCTGAAGTTATAAGGCGTGGTTTTGTTTTCATAGTTTTTGTTGTTTTGTTTTCCACCCACAGCAATGCAGGTACAGACACACCCTGCCTCGTTCCATCAGCCTGGAAACTAAACCCCTCCTGCCCCCTCCCCTCCTTTCATCCCAAATTGTTCCCAGGAATGAGCCCTGACATCCTTGCTGCCTTCTGGAGGTGAGGCCCACACTGAATCCTACTCAGAACAAAACAGAAAGTGACACTATCGTGCACAGGAGGGAAGAGGACAAAACGTCTCACAGCACCTTATACTCCTGTTGTAACGCTCTTCATTCGGTGGTGTTGGCCCTAGAGGAGGACGAGGAGAACCTTTTTAATGCAAACGATGAAGACGCCAGACGACAGCAGCAGAGTGCGAGCCCTGCCACTGTCATTCTGTTCCTCTTTCCACTTCATTCCCGTTTCAGAGACATGAGGCACCTTACTGGGCGGATCAGTTCGAGAGGGATAAAAAAAACACAGAAGACACTGAATCTTTGAGTGTTTTTGCCTTTTGAGGTTTCATAAGTACCATGACACAAGTGGGAAACAGAGACTGAAAGCAGGGATTGAGGAGGAGGGGATTTTAGAAAACAGTTTCTTTTTTTCTTTTTTTTTTCTTTTTTTTTTTTACTCAATCCAGTAGTTAATATCACCCCTGTTTGCCCTTCTTCTCTCCTGTAGGAAAATATAATTAATAAAAAATGGACAAGACAAAAAAAAATATTAAAACAACAATGACCAAAAAATAAAGTTTTCAACTCAACTACAAAGCTTTGTTTGTTAAAATTTATTGGATCAATAATTCAATGTCTCTGGAGTTTAACAGTCCCAGCTTTGCTCCGCACTGCATGAAGCAACAGTTAACTATAATGAGACACAAATGTATTTTTTTACCGGTTGATGACGAGAGCGCTTTTAATTTGAAGCTCGGTAAGCGTTTGCTATTAGGTCAGGCTGACGAAACAAAGTAATTACCTCCTGGGGGACTTTTTGTATTCTCTTCACATTCTCATTAGCTGGGATTGGTTCCATTCAGCGCTACAACTCTGCAAGTTCACGTAAAAAAACAGTCACTAGGGGGACCCCTCTATATACAGCAGCCTCAGTGTCAGGAGGCACACACTCCTTGTGGCAGTGGTGGCTCTGGGTTTGTGGTACACTGCTCTGCCCTTCAGGCATCTATGACATCCCTCTGGATCGATGTACTACCAAGCGCAAAGACTGGCTCTACGTCAATGTGTCACGAGGGCATGACCTAATTTCCCCCTCGGTGAACGTTGTTTGGACATCCTGTCAGTGCAGCAGGCTGTGGTCGCCTCCTCAGTGTGACAGGGCGTAGAGTTGCTCCGCGCTGCGCTCCAGTCGCTCCCTGTATTCCAGGTTGCTGTAGTTGCCTTCAGGGACCCCCTGGGTGCCGTAGAGCAGACCCCAGCAGCAGCAGGCGATCACTGCAGTGCTGTCACTGTCGCCTGTACGAGAGACAAATCTATGAGCACAAGTCCAGTGATGAAACTGAACACTCGAGTGTTTCTCTCGGTAATCATAATAGATCTGTTCAGGCTTTAAAGAAGCTTCAGTCAATATTTTGAGTTAATGTGGTCAATTGAAGTGATGAACCCACAGATCATTATCGCCCAACTGTTCAGCTCTCCTCAGCCAAAGAGCATTTTGAGTGTCTTTCAGTTAATTGGTTTGTTGTTCACAGCTCTCCCACTGCTCGACACTTCCTGCCCAGATTCACATTTCAGACAAAGTTAGCAAGCTGCTGGTGATGCCAGTGGATGACTCGGCATTTTACAGAGAATTCTATTTATCTTAACACTGTATCGCAAATGTAATTTGTAGTGCACATGTACATGTTAATCCTAGTTAGTTGTCAGCATAATTTAATGAGGAGATTCTCAACCTGGATGTGAAAGAAAACGCCAAAATCTAGTTTTAATTATCATGTAGGAGTAAGTCATTTGTCTTTTCCACCTTTTAAGCCTAAAAATAATTCAGAAATAAATGATGTATTGTACATTATGCTTTCCATTTTGAGCCTTAGTTGCTTCACTGGCATACGGGCTGTTAGTTGATTAATGTGTTTTTAAGGAATTTCTGTGTATATTTCTCCCTTATTCAGTTCAAAATCATTGTTCTATCACAATTTACACCACAGACAGCCAGAGCACTTAAACACCCAGAGTCTATAACTATTTTTTTGTCAGCCTTTGCAGCTAGGTTGCTTGTTCACAAAGTGTTGTATGAAAAAACGTTTCCCTTAAATCATCACTTATCATTACACCTACACAAAAGCTGCTCAGACCATACGGCATGTCTGAGCTAGAAGTGCGCTGAATGTAGAGGACAAAGAAGAACTAAAACAATGGGAGAGGAATGTGTGTAACCCTAACCCAAGTGCAAAAGACCAGGCTTAGGCCATGTGAACACGGCCTTAAGGTGTAACGGTATGTGAAAAACGTTAAAAATACTTTGGGATTAAACTCCAGATGTTTACGATTGCATAAGGGTTTCCAGGACTAATGTTTGGGCAAGACTTCCCTCTAGAAGTTAAAAAACTAAACAAATAAATAGTCTAGTCTGAATGTCTGACCTCCATGGAAGCCTGCTCTGCTCATCAGCTCCTCCCAGTCTGAACCTGCACCCAGCAAGGCGTCCAGCGCTATCATCGGGGCGTCGTGGCCGCTGCGTCCCGCCCAGCCTGACAGGCTGAAGCTCTTGTAGGCTTCATCTCTCTCAGCTGGGCCGTAGGAGGAGGGCCAGATTGCAGGCCCCACCCCGTTAGAGATGCCCCTCGTATCCAGGTACCTGAGGACAGAGTGAAGACATTCTCCTCACATCCTGATAGTAGTCTGTCGTTATTGGATTCTACAGAGGTAAGAAGCTGTCATCAGTTTTGAGGCAGAAACCTTCAGTGAGGTGTTGCGGTGATTTGTGCAGTCCTGTTTAGTTTGTGTCATTTCTCCATGAATAGAAATGTTCTGTTAATTGTGGGTAATAACAGCCAGGTAGGCTTTTTTTAAAATACGGCTACAGAGTCTGGTAACAGTGAAGTCTAAAGCAGTGGTTTCCAACCTTTCTTTGGTTCCATTCCGCCATAACAGCCCGCTCACTAAACATTACCCCACACTTGTTTACAAAAACCTGACTATAGCTGCTCCTACCACTGCCACTTGTCACAGAAGTATTCCCAGTCTCTCTCCGCCTCCTCCACGGCAAAGCCTCGACCCTGAACGAAGCACTTGGCTATTGGACAGGCCTCATTGATCAGCCCGAGCCCCCACGTCGTGATCGGCCGGCGCTGGACGGCATACGCGGTGAAAAGGGCCGACGCCACTGCGCCAAGGAAACCAGTCGGGTGAGGGTGGGTCATCCTGCCCGTCTCCACAGCGACCGCCACCAATGACAACAGCTGGTCAGGCTTCGGATACCTGGTGAGGCAAAATAAAAGTCATTATCGGCATTTATTATGAACGTCCAACCGTAAAGTAATGAGGTCCGCCACACAGCTGAGAAACGCATTTAAGCTTTCTGTATCAGCTCTATAGAAAATATGTTTACAGTAATGACTTCTTTTCATGCTTTAATTGACTCCACAAATTTTTTACTGGTTGTCAGTTTCTATTATTTTTTGATTGTCACATTTGCTCATGATCAAAGGAATGAGTTTCACAGTTGCATTTATTTCAAATTAATCTGGATACGAGCAGCACAAATGTGCCTCATATGTTTATTGTCTCATTACTGCATTTAATCCACAGTAGCAATGTCGCTGTAAATAAAGAAACCGAGATTTGACAATGCCTCATAATCCTAAGAGATGAAGAATGACACCCGCCTTAACGTTTTTTTACACCACGGAAACAAGAACACGGATAAATCCGATCCCCTCCGATGAAGTCCTCTGCTCATTCAGATGTGATGATTGAACTAAACCAGGTATTACTTCAGTGGAAAGTCGGCAGAACTAGTTCGACATAGGACGGGGGTTTAAATGGTACGTCAATCACCTGAAAATGTCTCACTATTTTGTTGATGGGTTCACTCTTTGATTTGTGCTTAATAGTTACATCGTGGGAATCCAGCCTAAAGAGCTTGTTCCAGATTGTTTTTAAAGGATTGAAAACGGGGTTCTTCGCACAATTGTTTGAACAAAACTAGAAAATTTAAGTTTGAGATCTTGAGATTTCTTAAGAGTGCCACTGACTATTTAGTTTAGTTTAGTTTTCGCGCCATGTTCAGACAAAATTATCAACTGAGTCAATAATAATGAAGATACAGAGAACTAGAGGAAGGGTATTCACACTTGGAGTTACGGTCTCTGAGATACAGTAAGTAAGTCTGCAACCTCCAAGCTATTTTAGAGTCTGACCTTTACTTTTTAAAAGTCATGTCAGTAACATAAGAAGGGCAACTCCTTATTACTTTATAAACAATGCATATATAAGTATTTATATATAACCGACAGATACGAACTCGATTTGCAGGAACACAAGCCAATTAGAGGCACGCATTGATAAAACAATGTCAATTATCCCCACCTTCATTTATTCTAACATATTTCCCTTTCTCTAGTTGTGGACTCTACAGGACTGAGGCTCAAAACTGCAGGGCAGTTAAGATAAGATAAGATAATCCTTTATTGATCCCCAGTGGGGAAATTCAAGTGTTGCAGCAGTAAAAGACGAGAAGAAGAGCATGCATATGAATACAAATAAAATAAGACTATAGAGGAATGTAAAAAACATAAAAACAACCAGGTATCAAAACAAACGACACATTTCCACATCCACAATTCATATGGATTATAGTGGGCTAAAATGTGTTTGTTCTCAGGAAAGGAGTTTTACCTGAGGCCAATGCACATGGACCTCATGGCCGCTCCGCAGCCCGTCCCCTCTGGGTTATAGGGCACTCTGTAGCCCCCCTCTTCTCCAGGTTTCAGCTGGGACACTCCTGAAAGGGTATAAATACAATCTTCACCACAGATGAACATCTTTTTTTTTCTTTTTTTTTAAATTAACAGATAAAAGCTTTGTCTCACCCAGGATGCTTGAAGGCCCTGGTTTTCTCCCCTCCATGTCTTTCATCCCCTCAACGTATCGAGCAGCCACCTCATGCAGGAGCTCCTCCCCCACCTTCCCTATGAGGCAGACAACTTCTTTAATGTTGTCCATATCTACGTTTTTTTTTTTTTTTTTACAAAGATGTTACATACCTTCTAACAAGGCCTTATCAAAGTAAAGGTCAAATAGAATTGCAATAATTTCCCTTCCACTTATACAAACGTAATAGAGCAGCAAATCAAGACAAGACTAGGTATTAGATTTAACCTTTAGCTGGAGGGTGTGGTGTGTTCTGATGAGGCCTCATCAGGACGCCACCGACTATCAGAACAATGCGGTCAATTTCTGGTTTGAGAGAAAATGAGCGAGCAAGAGAGAAAAGTCAGAGAGAGCAAATTAATCCGATGTCATCTTGAGCTCACCAGTTGCGAGTCCCTCTGCTGTCGCCAGATGCAGAACTGTGTCATCGCTCACCGGCCAATCAGGGAGCTCAGCCTTGATG